ACCTGGACCGCTTCGCCAACCAGATCCTGTCGTACGGCGCCGAGCTGGACTCGGACCACCCGGGGTTCACGGACGCCACGTACCGCGCGCGCCGCAAGTACTTCGCGGACATCGCCTACAACTACAAGCACGGCCAGCCGCTGCCGCACGTGGACTACACCAAGGAGGAGGTGGCCACGTGGGGCGAGGTGTTCCGCAAGCTCACGGAGCTGTACCCCACGCACGCCTGCAAGGAGCACAACCACGTGTTCCCCCTCTTGATTGAGAACTGCGGCTACAGGGAAGACAACATTCCTCAGTTAGAAGATGTTTCCAATTTCCTAAAAGGTTGGTTGTTTTCACGATCAAATTAACAAATACTTTTGACCGTGTAAATCTACGTATCTAAAAAAACTATTCTTGAATTTCCCAGACTGCACCGGTTTCACGCTGCGGCCAGTGGCTGGGCTGCTGTCGTCGCGCGACTTCCTGGCGGGGCTGGCGTTCCGCGTGTTCCACAGCACGCAGTACATCCGGCACCACTCGCGGCCGCTGTACACGCCGGAGCCCGACGTGTGCCACGAGCTGCTGGGGCACGCGCCGCTGTTCGCCGACCCCGCCTTCGCGCAGTTCTCGCAGGAGATCGGGCTCGCCTCCCTGGGGGCGCCCGACGACTACATCGAGAAGCTTGCCACGGTAATTACACGAGTCTTGCACCAAATTCATCATCATCATTTCAGGCATTGAACGTCTACTGCTGAAGATAGGCCACCCCCAATGATTTCCATAATTACCGGTTGGCAGTGGCCTGCATCCAGCGCCTTTCTGCTATCTTCTGCACCTAATTCAATGGGGCCAAAATTCTTCAAGCTCCATTTTTACTCGTGGACCATACTTAATTACCCGTTCATAGATCAAAACTTCGTTTTTCGTTTTCCCTGGCAGTGTAGATAACCATAAGATAATATTTCACAGTGTTTCTGGTTCACGGTGGAATTCGGTCTGTGCCGGCAAGGGGGCACCCTCAAGGCCTTCGGAGCCGGCCTGCTCTCCTCCTTCGGCGAGCTGCAGTACTGCCTCTCGGACGAGCCGCAGCTGAAGGAGTTCGACCCCGAGGTCACCGGCCTCACCAAGTACCCCATCACCGAGTATCAGCCGGTCTACTTCGTCGCCAACAGCTTTGAAGACGCCAAAGACAAGATGATGTAAGACTTTCATTGATATTACCTAATCACATATGAGATGATTTTATACTTATCGAAAACTGATAAATTAGAATAGTAATATCAGTCAATTAACTTATATCATAGTTTTGAAGTAAGAATGTATGTTATTCAGCATATCTTGATGAAATTTAATAGAGGAGTGTGTTGCAATATTTCATAGAGGAATAGTCAACAATCTCCGATTACATTATTTACCATCTCTTTCTTTTACAGCAAATTCGCTCAGACCATTCCCCGAGACTTCGGAGTCCGCTACAACCCCTACACGCAGAGCATCGACATCCTCGACTCCTCCAAGCAGATGAAGGACCTCCTCAGGGAGGTTCACCAGGAAATGGACCTACTCCTCAACGTCATGGAGAAACTGTAGGGATAATATAGACACACCTTTGGGTTAGACCTGTTTGAAATACTTCTCCAAGTTGAAAAAAAACGTGAAACGTTTCTGATAGATTTTGTAGTCATTCTCTTTTTCAGAGTTCAGTTTGGGGAAGTATTTTAAGTAGATCTACAATAAGTTATTTAATTGCTGTCCGTTAGATAGTTAGTAGGTAAGATCAAAAATAAGTTGCATCACATATTATGATGTTATCGTAATGATAATGACCCCGACAGTAAACAGTTTTGTTTTAAATATTGTTATGAAAGTAAAATTTAATCGTTTACGATGTTGTAATGTTGATAATAATAAAATTTGTTTAATTTACTTGTTATAAACACAATTTGTTAAAAAGATTAAGGAATAACGATAACCCAGTATAGGTTAAATAAAATAACTGAAATACTCATCAGTGTAATGATAGGTACCTACTTACATTGAAATTAACTCTGAATTTGAGTATAAGTTTTACTTTTACTTAAGTTTTTTAATTTACGGATTGTTTTTATACGTTGAAATTTACCTGAATTGATGTAAAGTAAATATTTTTTAAAAATCTTGGTCATTATAAGTATTTTAATGTAGGTATTTTTGTTTCTTTAGTAGGTAGTCATACTAAGGAACACTGTTCGAATTTATTTTAGGTTAAGGTGATTCGTGTAACTGAAACATCAATAAATTTTTAATCAACATAATATATTTAATAATTTGTACAGAATAAACTTAGTACCTAGTACTCGATTAGTGGCTAACTTTTACATAAAAATGACAAGATGACGCGCTATCTCGCTTACTCTAAGATAAATAGATCGCTACAATTTACAAGTTAAATTCGAAGGAAGTTTATTTACAATACTGCACAAGATACCTAAACCGACGTCATTGACGGCCTACACTACATTGCAAAACAAGGGCTTGCTAAAATAACTTTATACAAATCTGAATATACGTACAAAGTCGAAAGCGTGCGGTACAGCTACTTGAAGTGTAAAATGCGTTGTCTCCAGAAATTGGCACGGTTCTATAAAATTACAAAGTTAAATACTTTTTATGGACCTTATTACTAACAGTAATATTAATACATAAATAATATTTAATAATAACAAGAGTTTAGGGCAATAGTAAGTACATCTCTATCAACATTTCTCAGCAATTACTTTTCTTGGCACAATGTTTGACACAATTTTTATTTAGACGCTGGAAACCAATAATTAATTTCTCGTGTTGCATTTTAAAACAACATTTTGATCAATTTTTATCAGTGTATTGAATTTATTACAATTTTTAAAAACGTTTATTGCTCTAAAAGTTTCCAATTTTATTACCAATCAATCTTGTTTCATTTCATTAATCGTGAATAAATATTGTTAATATTGAAGATTGATTAACACCCACTTTCAGATAGTACAGGTTCAAGATAGGCCGTAAATATTTCGATACACAAAATACATTCTGTAGATATAACTATTTTACAACAATAAATTATTTAAGTTTCATTTTTTATTACATAGTTAATATTAAGATATTTTTAAGAATTTTAGAGACAGCTATTTAGTCCCATTTAAGTACATTCAGATTATTCTGTAGAAAGCGTATAAAATTATTTCCAAATGCGTCGAATAGACTTATATTAGATAAGAAGTCTTAAATTAACACATCGTAATTACAAAGTGGTGGTGTTGGTACGATTTTTACTTATTAGAAGAATAGGGAAAAAGATATACTCATAATGTGCTTTATTATGCTATGTTCCAATGCAATGGGAACGCCTTACAATGCATAAAGACTTTTCTTTATTTAATAAGACTTTTGTATGCAGAGCTAACAGAAATTACAAGAGAATATCAAGAGCTCTACTACGAATGACAAAATTATGGCGAAAGACCAATGTAATAATAAAATCTCCAACTGTATCTATAGCTAGTTGCTGATGTACTTAGAAAAGGACTTTAAGATTGTTGAGAGGGAACATGACAAAGTGTTAAATACTAAGTCGAGATGGTTTTCCAGGGAGGAAAACACATAAATAATAGTTTAAAAAATGCAATGACGACATGAGTCTGTTTAACATAGTAAAAAATGAGTGACGAAACTTAGGCTGGGTTGCACCATATTACTTTAACTTTGACAAACGTCAAAAATCTGTCAAACACCATACAAGAAATTCCATCGTAATCGTTATAGTTACGGTCAAAGTTAGGTGGCGCAACAGACTCAGCCTTAGAACATTAGCGGCCAAGTAACTATAACAACAAATTTTTGACAGCGAACGTATCACAGTTACTAGAAATAAATAAATAAATATAACTTTTTACAATAAATATCAGAAAACAGTAGGCTACCGTACCATTAAGATATAATCTAAATTAAATTAATAACTGTTTACATATTTTATATCTATCAATCTATGTCACCAATATAATAAATAATGTGGTGCTCTTATTAATTATTTTAGGTAAGTATCAAAGTGTATTATTGCATTAAGTAGACCTTGTATAAGTTCTAGTTAGAAAGAGGAAATGAGTCGACGACGTTGGGGCACATCTAATAGTACAATTGACTGACAAGTAATTCGTAGTAATTTTTCAGCAAAATTGTTTCGCGATTGTGAAATCAAGCCGTAAGTTATGCCTACAGGTGGACAAAAATAGACCAGCCCTTTTTTATTTACTCACTAAAACAAAACTTACATCTCAAAATAGGGTTGTCCTTTATTTGTCTACCATTAGGTACGTTGGATGGTAAATCTTAATCCGAAAAGGTTATCTACACTCCAAAAATGTTTTCGCAGTAATGCTTAGGTTGATAATAGAAGATACAATCAATAATATTTTAATTAATTGAACTACGTGGGAGACTGAATTCAAGAAGAACTCAACTTATATTTTTTGTAAAAGACTCTATTTTAGATGAATTAATTGCTTGTGAAACACACTAATCTACAGTTTTAAGCCCCAACAGTAAAGATATTGATATTAAACATATACAAATATATTACTAACAATTGTTGATGCAAGCAGTATTTACAGCGACTGTGAAAATGAAAGTGATAAAAACAACAATAAATCAATGTCTGGATATGTTCCATGAGACTCCAGTCACCAGATACTTGAAATAGATAAACAAATTTTTAAATGTTTCCATAACACAACTTTTACTACACTAATAAGAAAAAAAAACAGAAACGTCGAACGGACTTTCTAATTCATTCATGAAGAAGAGAGCCCTGCTGAAATATTTAGCCCTTCTGTTATTAAAATGATAAATTCCCGCAATAAGAAGATCCATTACTGCTGAATACTTACGCGAATTCACTACAAAATAAATATTTATGGACTTTAAACAAGGTCTGTCTCTAGCACGAAAAACTCTCGTCTTCGAGCCGATTGCGTATTCGACAAAATTCGATACCCAGCCTTCGAATTCAAAGATAACGTGACGACGTCGATTGTCAAAATTAGTTTCATGCTACCATTTTTCAAAATTTTCACTTACGTCACGTTAACAGGGGCGCTGTTTAAATTGTATTTTCATACTTAAACTTAAATCTTTCGATGGCGAATTCGAAGTCTTAAGATTTTCGTGCTTACAGGTACTGAGTTTAAATGCTTTTAATAAAATCTTTGAATCATAATTATTTTACTTTCGTGTTATGAAATGACATTCAAAATATTATTTTCATTCAAGAAAAGATTTAAGCCTGTTGTTAACGTAGGTCAAACTGATATTCAGGCAAACATACGTTGAAATTCAACTTATTCTTGCCTGAATTTAAGTTTGAATAGAGCTTTGAGTGTCACTTCAGTTCTTGAAACATGAAACCTTAAATTACTACATAATGCTATAAAGATAATTTATTCATCTAGTAGAAAAAGATACACCCAAATGCATGAATTAATTATAAACTAATCTATAAAAGTATCTGATGAACCGGAGTCTTGAACTTCTTGCTGCAGGCCTACACCTCGCTCTGCATGCAGTGGATGGACGAGTCCTCCGAGAGCTCATCCATCGACGAATCCGTGAAAGACGTCCCATCTGAAATGCGCAATTGTTTGCTGTTAGTGTCTAAGTATGCAAGTTTGGGTGCAATAGGGACCTTTTTACTCTACCTACAATGTGAATTCAGATTTAGAAGAGATTTTACGATTATCATCACCATAGTCAGCCTCAAAATTATTGTTTTTATAAGCCTATACTTGCAATGAAAGGGTGCAAAGTTAATCCAGTTTCGTAATTGTAATGACTGGCCTTATAGCGTGGCTTCGTCTATGGCAGCGGCGGCGGAGGCGCGGGAGGGACATACGGACTCAGAATAAGCGCCCCCTCCGCGGCAGCTGACATCGAAGTGTATTCTGTATGAACCACCAAGGTTGGTTATTGCATTGTCAAAATAGTTGGTTGGCTTTGAAACAGGCTAATCACTTTCCTATGTTTCAAAATTTCAGTAACTGTTTTCATCAAAAAGAAGGAACAAAGGTAAATAGTATCTAAATGCTTATATCGTTACAGAAGTCATGTTCTACCGTACTTTCAAGTAGGTATACCTTTTTACCAAGACATGAATAGTTAGGTAGGTAGTGATCCTTCAATAAATTGTTGACTTTTATCTCAGTTGGTAAAACAGCGATAGAGAAGAAGTAGAGTTGTGTTATGTAATGTTGTTGCATGGACTGTGTAAAGACAGCATGACTAATATTACTCACCTATTGGGACAAAAGGCGGCTTGTTCTGGAAGGAGTAGGTGAGGTGCAGGTTGATGGGGCGGCCAAACCCCACCGGGTCCGCGTCCCGCGATATCACTGCGGACAACGCGCATCGTCAGCACACCGCTACACACGACACACACATTCGCTAGCCAGAGAAACGCAAGCGTCGCGAGCCAAGAACATCGCCAAGCAGACATTGTTTAACAACTAGCAGTAGTTTTATAGAGGTAGGTAAGTGAGAAGCAAGTAAACGTAAGTATGATGAAGTAGGGTCTTCTTAATAGCAGTCACTCATAATAAAGATGCTTCAGAGATGTGTAAGTAGTATAGATTTTGAAGTTAGTGTATCCTTTGACGAATTGATTTTCCACAAGATTTCCAAATATCCAAATTTTTCTTACGAATGGTGTCTACATAGCACTGAAGCATCTCATCATAGAGCGCAGTTATTCAAAGAGGTGTCTGGGAAGAGGATCAGGCGTGGGCAAGTACTAACGTTGATTCTGCTTCCCCTTGCCGGTATGCTGGTGCTTCTTCTGCCGCGCCCGGCTGTTTTGGAACCAGACCTGCGTGACCCGCTTGCTGAGCCCCGTGACCTGCGCGATGCGCTCCAGGTCCTGGCCGTCGGGGTTCGAGTCCAGCTGGAAGTTGGCCTGCAGCACCTGCAGCTGCTCCTCCGTGAAGGTGGTGCGCACCCTCTTCGCCTTGCTCTTGTGGTAGCCCTCCGAGTCGCACCCGTCTGCGGTCACACCAGCAGTTCAATTGTGATAACGGTTTAGGATTTTCAGGTCAAACTATTTTAAGTGCAGACAGGCAAGTATTAGTTTCAATTTAACGAGAAAGGACAGTAAGGAGCAGAAATTTTATATCATCAATGTTTCCTGTACGTAAGAGTGTTAATCAACAGTTGGACAGTTAAAAAGTTGCTTGACCGATTAGTGGCCAAGTAAAAAATGGTTCAAATATTTAAAAAATTCACCATCAGACGAAATGGATCCGCCATCGAGCGTCTCCAGGTAGTGCGGCTTGCACAGCACGCGGTCCTCGTGCAGCGCGAACTGCTCGCCCGTGGACAGCTGGCGGCCGCACGCGTCGCACGCGAAGCACGCCAGGTGGTACACCTGCTCGCGCGCCTTGCGCACCCAGTCCGACGACGAGATGCCCCGGCAGCACTTGGAGCACTTCGCGCCGAAACTCCTGCGGAACGCACCAAACTTCACTACCCGGTGCTGGCATTAGCGACACTCGCCAAAAGCAGGATTTGTTAGCATTCGGGGCAGGGAGTATTTCGACCAGCGTGCAGCTTCTTCGTCACACAATTCAAGATTGGATGCATACTGGTAAAGACACTCACTACACACCGATGTACCTTTCTGTGCCTCTACCATGAGTTTACCTACCGAGCATCTCGCTATCGAGGGCGTAAAAAAATGTATGGCAAATTGTACAGCGCCTCTAGCGGTTAGTAGCTGAACCACAGCAAAACTAAAAACACTACCATGAGTTCATCTCAAATCGTTAGGTAAAAAACCTATCTAAATGAATACGATAGCGACTAAAGTTTTTATTAAGTTTCATACAAATAACTTACCATGAGTTGCAATTTTCAAAGATGTCATCGAAAAATACCTTAGCTGTCACAGTAACGTAACTCACTGGCTTATTGACGTGTGAAAAGCAAAATAAAATTGTGGTTTTAGGTCATTTTAGGTGTTTTCTTTATTAAATTATGTCGGAAAGAAGTTAATATCGAAATTCCTCCACCACATAGTATGTTTATTTTTACTTAACTTACCTTTCCATAAATTCTACAATCGGTTTAAACGGATAGGCGCAGGTTCTCATTTTCCTATCGTGGTTAAAATCCAATTTTTTGTGGAAAATTAATCATCAATAATCCTTCAACAAAACATGTTTTGTTATCTGTTGTCATGACAACAGCTGCGTCAAAGTCGCAATGACAAGAAATAAACAATACAAATTTAAAATCATCATGTTAATTCAGCTTTAAGCACTGTTCTAGGACACTTAAATTTTGCAGTGTTATTTTTGACATTTTTGTTATTTCCTACTCTATCTTTTCTATATAGTTAGAAAGGAGCGGCATTCGTTCTTTCATTCATCCATTCATAGAGTGTGAAGTTGGATACGTTTACATGTTCACCAACATGACATCACAAAACCATCGAATTATCGCTGGCGAGTAAAGTATACGGTAATTGAACTCATGGTATGATTTTAATGCAAACTTCATCGATCCACGTTTAAACTCTATCGACTGTAGTATACGAATACAAGTTTTCGATGGCAACTCATGGTAGAGGCACTGAACAGTAACTGGTGAACTAAGCCCTAAGGTCTCACCCAGTCCGACATTACAAGCTTTTATGTATATGAGCGGGTTTCCACACCCACGCGGGAGCACTCATACTTAACAGTGTACAGTTAAGAGCATAAACATGTATCCACTCCTTAGCTCTTATCGCGGTGACTTGTGAATAAAATGTGGATACATATTGTGCGCCTGACTGTACCTGTGTACGACACAGGACGGGGCCCAACCAGCACTTTGCATAAACGAAACTGACATTAAGTGTATATCATAAATTTAATGCTAGATTGCTATTTCTTTGGAGATGAGTTATAGGTAAAGTTGCGGCCAGGAGACGCGTTAGGTTGCGAAAACTAAGTATTGAGAAAACCTGTAGATTAGAATTACTTTTTTTTTTGTTTTTATTGGCAATTCTTGGGACATTTCGAAACTTCGAACCATTTCATTTTAGCTGTACATTTTCTTTAGTTTTTCTTAGTCTGAAGATTAGTTAAATTAGGGGAGCAAGTATATTGTTTTTTAGATCTTACGTAATCGGAATGACTCTATCTTATGTTCTATTTAATATTTATTGTACGGCGATCGTAACGTTTGCTACTAGGAATTAATTTAATAGACTTGTGCAATAAAATATCTCATAGATAAAATTATAGAGCGATAATTTACCCGCTCTCCATTCATGTAATGAATTAAGCCAATCTCCTGGAGAGGCAATAAGTGTTCTATAATCATAGAAATCAAGAGGGTAAGTGCCACTTCGACGGAGTTATGTGCTTTGTTTTACGGCTGGACATATCCTTTGCCCGTGGTTGCTTTACGAGCATTTTGTTCAGTGTGCCTACCATGAGTTTACGTTAGGTGAGCTCGCTAGCGAATACGTCAAAAAATTCTATGAAGATCTTATTTCTTGAAAGTAGCCACTAGGGGCGCTGCACAATATGTCATACATTTAAATGTCATTTTTTTACGCAGTCGCTAGCGAGCACACCTAACGTAAACTCATGGTAGGCACACTGGCCCTTAGTCTTTTCTGGTCGCAGTTTCGTTAAACTTACCCGAACTACTAAATTCAGTTAATCTTAGACTTTATGTACTGTTGCCTTGCTCAAAATAATCGTGTGTAGGTGCTTATTTCATGACAGATACCTAATAAAAGCTCGATCATTGTAATACTTGAAAAAATTTATTTTGTCCATAGAAAGATTGCACCGTATATTTCCGAAAATTCCGTTTAGATTAGAATAATTAATCGTGAAACTTGCTTGCTATTTATTACCTATGCCACTCAGAATTACTCGGAGATACTGTAACTTTTCACCGATATTTTTTACAAAATGACCGCAACATACTTCTACAGTAGGTATTCATTATTATACTTTGCTTCTACGGTTTAAGTGTGAGTATATTACTTAGATATACTGTATGCATAAATAAGTCTAAGCTATTGGTATAAATCAATCGCACAATCACAATTATATTCAGTCATTAAAAACTTTTTACGACGATGTACTCATACGATAGCCCAGTTGCACTGAAGTTAATTAAAATATTATGATAGGCCATAAGGGTAAAGGCACATCACATGTGAAGTCAGAGTGCAATTTTGATAGCGGTTTGAACACCAGCGCGTATTTTTATTAGTATTGGTACAAGCGACTCCTGTTTCCGAAAGCAATGTATCGTTAACATTTTACGATATATTGGTATTGGTAACTTTAAATTATTTTCTAATTGGACAATTATTTTTAACTGATTTCGAAATAGAAGGAGGTTCTCAATTGCACGTTGTTTATTTATTATTATTTTTTGAATTCAGTTTTAATTTTGTTTTGTTGAATTGTTTAAAATCGTAACGAATTATTTTCGGAGAATTTTTTACAAGTTTATAATTATAGTTTCACTGTCCGGTGTATGTACACAAATTTAACTTTCCCATTTCCCGGTTTTCTATCAAGCTGAAATATTACACGACCAGTCGACGTATATGACGCAACACTTATTACACAAATCGCATTTTTAACGGACGATTGTTTATCTAGTTTACATTTTTATTCATTGCTATCATTATTCTCATTAAATATAATTCAATAAAACTGTCTGGTCAATAGGACTTCAGAGTTGTAGGTTTTCAGAGTTCAGGAGTGCGGCTGTGCCCTTAGTGTGTGCACGTTAGGAAGTAGGCTTCCACCAACGTCCAACACCTACTGTTTACGGCGGAACTATCACCATTAATCATACAATTTTAATTCGCTGAGCAAAAGAAATACACACAGAAGTTCGCTCGCATACATTGTAACTCGCAATGCTATAGTACGCGATGAATAATGGTAATGGCTGCATTAGGATTCATTAAACTTGTTTCCGATGAACTTTAATACGCCTCCTGGAATATGAGTATGAATAGCGCGATAATTGAAGCACACGTTATAATTTAATACTTACCTCGGTATGGGGTTAGACACGGAATTCCTCGTCGGTTCATGTTTAGAGTTTTAAAGAAAGCTTTAAGGTTAAGATTAGGATTAAACTTCCATCAACAGATAAACTATTAAACAGAGAAAAGAAAATGTTATCAGAAAATTTTAATCCTGCGATATAGCTCTCTGGAGGTAGTTACGTTTGTAGTAACATGGGTAGAGGTCTAGTCTTAGTCGGCTCTATCTAGGGTAAATTAATCGTTAACAATGACTGTACCTTGCTCTTCCAACTATACCTGCAAGTACATTATGTGACTCTGCTCCTTAACACTATATCCACGAGGGCCAAGTTGCGAACACTGTTAATGACCGATAAGCCAACAGCATGCTTCAGAGGGCACGCTCACATCGATCCCCTGGAGCATGTCAGACGGCTCATAGGCAGATAAAAGCCCACATGACAGGGAGTAGGTTAGGATATTACTTTTAGTTACTTACTTACGGCAAAATACAGTTGAGTCATGTCATGAATGTTTCATCAACAGGTCTTATCTTAGGGGTCCTTCATGAGCAGTTTCCGATCAGTCCTTTCCCCTTTACCTACAAGTATACACGCTAGGCATGGTTATCAATGTTAGTTTAATATAAGTGCCAATACTTCTTCCTGTACCAAAAGTGAGGCTCAAGTGGTGGTCTAAGGAGCTGTTCTTGTTATCCATGCTCAAGTTCCATGAAGTGCCTAAAGTCTGTTGTTTGTGGAGTACATGCAATCGTTTATTACACAATCATTAATTCAAGACAGCGATATTGCAGTTGCCGTTCCCTCGCGTGAATTTTCGCGCAGCCGCTGATGCGCCCGCGCCGGTGATGGATCGCGCACGCTTCGTTAGGCCGGCGGGCCTTACTCTAAACTACTACTTCCACAAATTCACCTCCATCGGTCTCTCTCGTTCATCTTGAACGACGGGAAGAGCGAGGGAGATGAATAGAGCTGATACATCAATACTCACGGAGTGTGACCCCAGATGAGGCTCCGGTTCACCTCGCACGACGATTCATCTTAATCAAAATGGAGTTTCGAAACCTTACCGTAACAAAGGACACAAAGATCACGTTGTGCAAAGGTGCAAATAAGCGTTCAGAAAGCATTGACAAATGAATATTCTCAGATGATTTCTTTTAAAAATAAGTCTAAAACTACAGCTTTTAAGTTTATGATTCGATTATTAGTTAGTAGGTAAGTTGTAGTAAGGCGCTTGGGATATTGCAGACTTAAAAGCAATCATCGTTAGTTAATGATTACCACAGGACGTTTTGGACTTTGGAAATAGGGTAATACGATCGGTAATAACCCATAAGGTCTGAAATTAAGTTCCAACGGGCTCAGGGACAAATTCGACGAACAGTCATGATTGTAAGTACCATTGTATTTTTAATTCTCCCAGTCC